TTATTATTTTATATATTAATCTTGTAATTTATTTAAGGTCGCTAATTGGATAGTTACAGTACAATTAATTCTCCTCGAATATCATACAAAAATAGCAAGAAATATACAAGATTAAAACGTTTTCATTTTAAGCTACTTTCGCGAAATTCTCGTCTTCAATAACTCGAATGCTTTAGCGAGAAAATTCCTGTATTCTTATTACGCACGTCTTAATCATACACGAGTCGCGTGAGCGACGGTCCCGCACATTGTTTGGATGAACGTAGAATATCAAGAACTTTATGTATAATTCACCTATCTGCGACCTTCATAACTTCCGATTATTGCTGTTAACTACATATAAACATTTCTTCCTTTGAAGTGGTTTTTTTATTTTACATGTCTTTAAAACATCCAAGAATTGAATTGACTTTTAACAACTTACTGAAACATTAATAAAACAATTGTTTTAGTAAACATTCCAAGATAATATTAAGTTATTTTAATAATTTAAGTAGGTACACCTTTTCGTTTGTAAATATACAAATTATGGTTTCAATAAAAAAAATTAAAATAAATTATAAATTTATTACCGTAAGACATGATCTATTTATAAACAATTGATGGATCACTGAAATTATGTAAATTTTCGTCATAAAATTCTTCAGGCAAAACATCTTCATCTTTGTGAAAATATGTGGGAAACGGTAATGCAGCAGATGGTTTACGTAATGGTAAAACTGTATCGTAAATATATACTATTGAGTTCGTTTCTCCAGGAATTCCCATTCCCATAACCCACATTACATTATATTTCCTATTTATTCTCAATATTTTTAATCCCTTGGCAACTCTATACCTATTACCCATATGTCCAGGCATTTTAGTGCCTGGCCAAACTCGACCTTTTTCACCACCCCCTCCGATGTTACCACCTCTTCTGTGAGTTTTTGTCACTCCATGTGATGCAGGCATGCCACTAAATCCGTGTCTTTTCATTACACCTTGAAAACCTCGATCTATCCTGTAAAATGCTAATGTGAATTACAAATTTATATTTAAAAAAAAAATTGAATCATTATGAACCAAGCATACAACTTATCCTCTTTATTCACCTTAGCTATCTTTCTTACCTCCTTCCTAAATTTTTCTCTATTCTTCTTTCAAATTTTACAAACTTTGCTTTACAAATAATTTAGGTAGTTAATTATATATAATGTATACAAACAAAGTAGATAAATTATATTTAAGGCAGAAAAATGTACAATTGGAAAATTAACAAGGAGAAATTAAAAATTCATAAAACAGTTGCAAAACGGGAAGTTTTCTAAAGTAACAAATAAATATAAATTTTGAATTGTATATTTTCCTAAAATAGAAGCTACAATACTTACGTTTTTCCTCTTACATCCACATAGTTTCCAACTCTGTAATGATCTATTGTGATTGGAGTTCCTGGTTGAAGTAATGCTTCAGGACTTACAAAAAAACGTCCTAAAACTTTTTTCGGTAGAACTCCTGAATCTTTAAACAAACCACAGTATTCTTTTGTTAATAATATTGGATCTGTTTCAATTGCTCCTAGAAGCAGACATCCCTTTTTATTCTTGACGAGAGTGGGTTTCACTCTAG